ATATATGTCAGTGGCTATGGCATGAAGCAGAATAAATGAATTTGACCAAAAAAAAAAGAAATGGCGGCCTTTTGAATTTTTTACCCCTTTTTCACCCCTAAAATGGTAAAAAAAGGGGGGTTAAAAATGAACGGAAAATTATGATTGTGGTTCAGGCTGAAACTACACATGTGCTGAACAATCCCTGAAAATTTCAGCCCAATCGGTTAAATAGTTTTTCCAAAATCGTGCCAACCAGCTCGGAAAACGTTGTTTTGAGAAAAACGCGTTTAAAGTTATTGCACGTATGATCGTTAGTATAATCATAAAAAAGTGACTTACGCTCAATCAGCGATGCCTGCTCCATACATCAGTCCTTCCTCGTCCTCGTAAGCTTCGTTTTGAGCAGCTTTTTGTATTCTAAGCTCACTTTTAAATTAAAAATTTTTAAAAACTTTTTAAAATTAAAAATTTTTATGTCACTTTTGCAAGTTTTACAAATAAGAATGTCTTGTAAAGTCAGAAACATAACGATTTTACGACATATTCTCGGTCGGTAATCGGTATGAGTGTTCCTACACTAATTCTACATACATATAGTACACGAAAATGATGTTTTTGAAAAATCGAATTTTTTGGAAAAAAAGTCCCGTAAATCCCCCTTAATTTCTTATATTTGTTATTTGTATATAAAACAAAAAAATTTTTTTAATAAAAATTATTATATTCTGCATTAATTATTATCTTATTATTAAGACAAAAAAAGAAAATTTCCTTTTATATAAAACATAACAATTTAATAATGCACAATATGATAATTTTATTTTTATAAATTTTGATCCAAGATTTGTATTTGTTTATACAAATTAAAATACAGTTCATTATAAAATGACTGAAAATAATAATTATATGACATGTAAAAATAATAATTATATGACACATATTTATTGTATAACGATTCGGTTTTTTTTATATGTAATGTATGCAATGAAAAATAAATTGTAGTCATTTTTTTAATGGAATTTTTTTAGTTAAAAGTAAGAACCCGTTGAAAAATTTTTCATATGTGAACATTTATGAATGTGTATAAACATATGTAATATGTTCATATATGCCCACATATCGTTCTTTTTTTTTGTAAAATTATTGTTTAGTATAAGATAAATAATATCAATAATAAGAAAACGTATAAGTAATTAAAAGGATAATTTTTGCATTGTTATAAAAAAAAAGTTTAGAGAAATTTGAAAAATTCGTCATACATAATTATATATAACTGTATATAATTATACATGAGCAATAATTATACGTGAGCATTTTTTTATATTTCTCCAAACTTGAATTTTTCTAAAAGAAACAATGAGAAAATTACTCTTAATTATTTTCTATGTTTTCTAATTATTATTATTTTTATTATACGAAACAGTAGTTTTACAAAAGAAGGAAAGTTGTATGGTCATATATAGGTATACTTAATTTGTATATAAAATACATTATGTATATGTTTATATGTATTTATATATGTCAGGGTTGTGCGCGTTACCTCCAAAAAAGTAATGCATTATCGTTACTTTTTGAAAAAAGTAACTCATTACCGTAACCAATTTTAAAAAGTAACGCGCGTTACTTTTCTGTTCTTAAAGAATATCATGGTACGATGTCATAAATATTCTTGTTTTAAATTGACAGTGCATCGAAATTGACTCATAGTATAAGCATCGAAAATTCGTCGTAATTGAATCGTTTTGAATGTCGAAAATTCATCGAAGTCGAATCATTCTGAGCATCGAAAATTCATCGAATCGAGTACGAATTCATCGGAATCGATGAATATTTCGATCAGTTTTCGAAACATGTTTTCGATGTCGATTTGATATCATTTCGATGAGTCATTTCTCGCTGGGACGCTATAGATTTTCAGCACTGGCAGTGAATATCGGAACGAACCCGTTACCCCGGATCTACAATAGGTGTTTTAAGCCTTAAGCCGTAAGAAATTGACCAATTACAGTCGAATAAGCGACTGTGATTCACCCATTTCTTATGGTTTAAGGCTTAAAACCCTATTGTAGATTCGGACTTAAGGGTGCCATCCAATTAAGCACGGATCGGAATGACGAATCGGATTTCTGACTAATAGCGTATTTCACTGGTTGCACTGGTGCGCACTCAGTGCACATTAAGGCTGTTGTACACTATTCTAATCTAAATATAAAAATGAGATATTTCAATTGATAAAATGCCCAAAATTTATTTTATCAATAGCACAATAAAATGTATCGAATATTTCACGGTTTAATTCGTTTGTATATTTTTATTAAACGTATATCTTTACGTCGATTTTTGTATAACGG